TGTCTTTTAGACTACAGTCAAATGTCTCTTCAGTCCAGCGGTGACTAAATTTTCTTGCAACGTTCAATTTCAACGTCTTCACTCAGGAAATGAAATATCAGACTATTGTTTATGTTCTTACCAATTCATTCAACTTTCTCCTTTTTCTTGTTATTACCAACATATATCTTTTCAGGCCACGCTGCGTAATCTGCAGTTTGTGAATAGCTTTCAGGCTTAGGGTCAACGCTTCATATCCATGGGTTCGAGCTGGAAGCACACACTGACCGAAAACTCTGTTTCAAGCAGAGGGTAGTTTCCTCAGGTAGGGACACATTTAATTTAGCATTTTCCATGTTACTTTTTCAACATCGCAGAACAGATGATCTGGTAGAGTGACCAGTTGTCCCATATTAACGTAGTTCTGCACCTCCTTAAGACTCAGCCCAGGGACCTCAACAGATCCTGTCGTCAGGCATTTGTTAAACATGACCTGAGCATACTTCAGATTCATTTACAATTTTGTTTGTATGCTGATGCAGTAATGTAATATAATGTCGTATAATATGAGCATTTAAATTGAACCACCAAAGTTACCACGGTTCAATACTGAAAATTTCAGTGCTAGTCGTGCGGCTGATGAGAATAGTGAACAAGAGATGAAAGTATAAATGTTAACTACTGTGTACCTCAAAACGAACGTCGGTTTTGGCTTTGAAAGCTCTATCACTTCAAGCAAAACTAGTTCTCAAGCTCTAAACTGTTTCCTAGCGGTTAATTTCCGTATCTCACGTTCATTATTTTATACCACACTTTCAGTTCATATTATAATCTTGACTTGCATATTTTGTCAGAGATAAAAAAACTGAATTAAAACCTTTCGGTTTGTCTTTAAAACCTACATCCATTTGCTTCAATGTTATACGTACTATTTCGTTAGGCTGTTAACCACAGAGAACGATGAAAAACAAAAACAGCGGTATTACGAATACTGACATTTGCGAAAGTCACAACTGCATTCAAATATTACCTTTCTTGTGACATATGTC